GGGGGCAACACTGAGGGTTGCGATCCGTTGCCGGACATGGAAAAAGACAAAAAAAACAAAAAAAAAAAAGATGTTGAAAAACTGGAGTGAGCTAAATCCAACAAAATAAAATTTAGCTCAAATATTTTTAAACTCCTGAGTTTATGTACAATTATAGGATGAAAGGAATCTGTCTTAACAGCAGGACATGTTAAGAACTTTCAGATTTTAGGGCCAGCCCGGTGGCACACTGGATAAGTGCGCCGCTTGGGAAGTGCGGCGGCGCTCCCGCCCGAGGGTTCGGATCCCACATACAGACCGGTTCCCGCTCACTGGCTGAGCGAGGTGCAGGGGCAGCGCCGAGGTTTGTGATCCCGTTGCCGGTCCCCGGTCCGGTGCAGGGGCAACACTGAGGGCTGCGATCCGTTGCCGGACACGGAAAAAGACAAAAGACAAAAAAAAAAAAAAAAGAACTTTCAGATTTTAGTTGAATGTACATTAAATATAAATGTAATAAGATTGATGCATTAGATTGATCCAATTAGCACAAGTAGATAATCCAAACCATGGAAAGTTATAATTATATGACAGAGTCCCATGATACTCTGTACTGGTGAGAAAATATTTTGACATTATGCTCCCTTCTGAACACTGACAAACAAGAGTGCATGTGGGGATGGGGTGGGAAGGAAGCCTTTTCCAGGGGATGATTACCAAAACTGGCCTTAAATGCATGGTAATGTGAAATGATAAAAGAAATTAGGGATATTTAAGCTGAAAAGAGATCATTAAAGAGCCGCATGAGTCTGGTTTCAAATCATGTGATAAAAGCAGAACTAAAAGCAGTGGGTGGAAGTTACAGAGTCATGATCTGACAAATAACACTTGGAAGATTAGAGATAACCAACTGGGGAATAAATTAAATTAGAAAGTTCCTGTCACTTTATAAGCAGAAGCTAGATAACCAAATCTTTATTGCCCCAAGAGTCAAGCACCATGCCTGGCATTTAATAGATGTTAGAAAAAAATAACTACTGAGTAATTGAGGAGCCTTAAAAGATAACCTGAATGACAGTTCTTTTTTTTTTTTTTTTTGTCCTTTTTGAGACCGGCCGCACCACGCTCAGCCAGTGAGCGCACCGGTCAGCCCTATATAGGATCCGAACCCACGGCAGGAGCGCTGCTGCGCTCCAAGCGCCACACTCTCATGAGTGCACCACGGGCTCGGCCCTGAATGACAGTTCTGTCCCTCCTGGTGTCAAGGACAGTGGGAGAAATGAAGAGACTATTTTTTCCAATGGGCAACGAGAGGTTGAACAGAAGGGTGTATGCACTGGTCACTGTCTCTTAAGATGGGCAACAGTGGTTCGCAAAAGATGCAAGGAAACTAATTTGGCAAACCAATAAAACTTAGCATACGTGTTGTCTCTGATAGGACAGTGTTAACTATATCATCCTTTGCTTTAGCACACATTCAAGAAGTCCTAAATCTGGTATCTGGTCTCGAACTATATTCTGTATGTCATTCAATAATAAATAACATTTAAGACCTTATCGATCTTGAAATTCTTTAATTCTTTGTTGTCTTTCTTTGATTCCTTCACTCAACTTAGTACATGGAGACTCAATATTTAGTAGTTCACTTTGTAACTGAGATTGTTCCTAATATCAAAGGAGAAAACATTTTTAAACATGCATGATAGGTGTCTTTTAGAATAAAAGAGGTATCCATGAGTTAAGAGGAATTCAAGTATAGTTGGATAACAAGATTAAGTACCATAAAAATAATTAAAGGACAATAATATAACCTCAATCATAAGGGAAAGTATCTAAAAAGTACATGATGCTATCTACAGAATTCCTGAAACTCTGCTGTCGTTCTAATTTCCATCACATTTTGTGTAAGTCTGTAGTACCTGGTAAAAAGTAGCAAGGTGCTTTCTTATGATCTCTAATTCACTCTGCGAATATTTGAGTCGTGCATGAGTTCCTTGTACTAGAGACTGTATTTGTTTTAAATCTGTTTCCTTGTGGAGTGTCTTCATTAAATCCTAAAAAAAGAAGAGAAATATAGGAACATTTTACAGTAGAAAAGCACTTTCTCTTTTCAAATTGCTTTCACGTGTAATAATTCACTAATTTGTACATAAAACAACACCCTACTTCCCCTCCTTCTTATAAGAGACCAGGCGTTTAAGTACATTAGCCATCTGGAATAACGAAGAAGCCATATAAACTCCTCAAAGAACTAATATACTTTCCAACAGGAAAGGGCTAGGTATGAAAAATGAAGAACGGGGAATGGACGTGTTCCCTTCAACACAGAGAAATAGCATCAGCAGGATGGCGTGACTCACTGCCTAACTTTCCAGGCATCCTTGTCTTTGTGCTTGCTTCCCCCATTCCCTTCTCCCTTTCCTCCCTTATTACTCAAACACATTAACTCCGTCGTACATGTTCTGTATTTTTACTCCAAGTCCTTATGACATACAAGTACGCGAGGTATATATATATTCACCTATCTGTGTTTGTTTTTCAGGCTTGTTTTGCAAATTTAGAATCATATGGATAGTGCGTTTCTGCATTTTACTTTTCTTATTCAATTACTCACAAAAGTCAACTGATGAAGCTCTAAATTCATTCTTTCAATGGGTGCATATTTTTCCGGAGAGTGACTGTACAAGAATTATTCAACTACTCTCTTAATGATGGGCATTTACGTTGTTTCCAGGTTTTTGCCACCACGAACAGTATTACAACATACCTGTACGTATGCCCTCAAGTACTGGTGTTTTTATTTCCATGCAATAAATTCCCTGGGTGAAATTTGTGGGTCAAATGTATTCACGTTTTTATTTTAATGGCTGATACTGGATTGCTTTCCCAAAAGGTGTAATAATTCACATTTCTATAACTAATGTGAGTACTCTTTTCCTTACATCTCTGCCTGCAATAAGCATTTTACATATGTATTTATTTTCCATATCTTATTGATAGGCATAAAGTAATCTTAATTTGTATTCCCAAGTACTCTGTTCTATATAAAACATTTCTTTATGTTTACTGACCACATGGATTTCTTCTTTCGTTGAATTATCTAATCCTATCCCTCGCCCAGGTGTTTCTATCATAATGTCTTCTTCATGTCAATTTGCAAAGTGTTCTTCTATAGTATACAGCCTATGCTCTTCATTGAAAACTTGCTTAAAAATGTACACAATAGGGGCCGGCCCGTGGCTCACTTGGGAGAGCGTGGTGCTGACAACACCAAGTCAAGGGTTAAGATGCCCTTACGGGTCATCTTTAAAAAAATGCACACAATGGCTTTTATCCTCAGTTAAAAATTATTTTGCATTCATCTTTTAATCCATCTCGAATTTTTATATTTCATAAGATGAGGCACAAAATTTCTTTCTCTAGATGTGCTAATACCATTTATTAAATAACCTATCCTTTTGCTTCTGAATGAAAAGTCATCTTTGTTATATACAGAGTTGTCAAATATACTGGGCTCTACTTCTGGAATTCCCAGCGTTGCTATCTATCCATTTCTATGCCAATACTACATGAACTAGATTCCGATGGTTTCTCAGAGTATTCTGTGTACTGGCAGGGGAAGTCCTACCTCACTCTCTTTTATTATATATTTTTTGACTAGTCTCAAGAAAATTCACTTGTAAGAACTAGAATATCATTTTATCAATTAAAAAACCCTTGGTAGTATTTTAATTAAAATTGTATCCAAGTTATATATTAATGGAAGGTCTTCAAACCTATGAATATAGCAAGTCTTCCCTTTATGTTGTTTTATGTCTTCTAATAAGACATACTTTTCTTTTTAAATTAAAATTTTTTATTCATTGTACCTGTTTATGGGACAGATTGTTTTTTCAATACATGCACATATTGTACAATGTTCTAATCAGAATAACTGGCATTATCTCTCTCCTAGACATTCATTCCTCTGTGGTTATAATATTCAGGATACTCTTTTGTGGCTGTCTTGAAATATACTATACAATATTATTAGCTACTATCACCCTAGAGCACCAGGACTTGTTCCTTCTCTCTAACTGTAGCTTTGTACTGGGCCACCACACTGTCCCCAGTCTCCCTCCCTCAGGATGCCTCTGGTAACCACTATTCTACTCTCTATTTCTCTCCTTTTGTATTTTTTTTCTTAATTGACCCATGATAATTGCATATATTTATGGAGTTACTGTGCCTTCATATTTACATTTATTCCTATTGTGAAAATATGTATTTCCCTTTTTAGGTGCACAAATATAAACTATGCCTTTATATTCATAAGGGAAGTCAGTCTTTAGTTTTGGTGTTTTAGTATATTTATAATATTTAATATTAAAGTTATACTATCTTTATCAAATGAACTGGGAAGCTTCCATATTTTTCATGATCTAGAATGGTTTACACAACATTAGAATTATATCACATAGACCTCACGTAGCTATAAACCCAGAGTCTTCTTTTTTAAATTTGTGGTAAAATACACGTAACATGAAATTTACTATCTTTACTATTTTTTTTTCCTTTTTGTCTTTTTTCATGACCGGCATCGGATCGCAACCCTCAGTGTCGTGCCCGTACCGGTCTGGGACCGGCAACAGGATCGCAAACCTCGGTGTTGCGCCCGCACCTCGCTCAGCCAGTGAGTGGCCGGTCTGTATGTGGGATCCAAACCCTCGGTGGGAGTGCCGCCGCGCTCTCAAGCGGCGCACTGTAGCACTGCGCCACTGGGCCGGCCAACCTTTACTATTTTTAAGTGTATAGTTCAGTAGTGTTTAAATATTTACAATGTCATGCAGTAATCTTCTGAACTCTTCATTTTGTAAACCTGAAACTCTAAGTCCATTAAACTACTCATTCTCCGTTCCCCCAGCCCACTGTTCTCACATGTACATACCACATTTTTATCCATTCGTCCACCAATGGACACTTGGCTTGCTCCTACCTTTTAGCTATTATGAATAATGCCGCTATGAACATGGGTGTACAAATACCCCTGAGACCCTGCTTCCAATTGTTTGGGTAGACACCCCAAAGTAGAATTCCTGGATCATTCTATTTTTGAGGAAACACCATCCTATTTCCACAGCAGCTGTACCATTTTATATTCCTTAAGCCTTTTTCAAATGGTAGATCAGCCAACTAACAGTGGTTTTAAATATAGTGGTTTCTTCTTTTCCCCAAACAAAAGCAGTCTAGGGTGGTGCAGTTGCTCAACAATGGCACCCACTCTGTTTCTTAGTTCAATGGCTTTTATCTCCTGCTTGCTTTTCTCTTGGTGCAAGAGTGCTGCTACAGCTCCAGGCCTCTTGACTGTGTTCTAGTCAAGTACACGAAAATGCAAAAAGTAACAGTAACACTGCCATTTATATCTCATTGGCCTAAACTGTCACATGGCCACCCCTAGCCACAAGGAAACTTGGGAAATCAAGTTCTCTTAGTATTTTAAGATTCTACAATAGAGGCTGGTAAGAAAGGAAGATGTGGATGGGGACTGGGCCAGCCGATGACATTAATGCCTGCTACTGCCTGTCTTTTCAAATGTCCCACATTTTTCTGTTCAATCTTGGTAATTAATATTTTCTGAAAATAATTTCTTCCAGGTTTTCCATTTTTAAACTATATAGTTATTTGTATCTACGATTCTTTAAAGGTTTTTAATTTTCTCATTCCTGATCACATATGTTTGCTTCTGGCTTTTCCTTCCTCCATTAGGGTTGCAAAGAGTTTACTGTATTAGTCATTCAAAGGAACCAGCTTTTAGATTCATTTGTCCCTTTTCTGAGTTGTAACTAATTTCAGCTTTGAAAAGTAATTCCCTTTTATGTTTTTGGCATTTTGTGATTGTTCTAAACTCCTAAGGTGCGTAATAACTTCCGTTGTATTTCATCTTTTTTCTTTAATAATTAAAACATTTCACTCTTGATGCAGCTTTTACTGTGTCTCAAAAATAATGGTAGGAGGCATATTCATCATTTTCTAGGCATTTTATGATTTGCCTCTTGATTCCTTCTTGATCCCTATACTATCTACAAGCACACTGAATTTCTATGTAGGCAAAGACTTTTTTGGTCACTATTTCTAACTTCATGGAGTATGATCAAGGGGACCTAACGTGTATGTTTAAGAAACTGTTGAGGTTTCCATTGCGGTCAGCATGTGACCAGTTCCTCTAAGTGTTTCATGGGTATTGTTCATTATACTTCACATTTATTGAGCACTTATCATGTTCTTTCAGCTTCTATCTATTAACCTTCTTAATCCCTTTAACAAGGTTATGAAATCGGTGCTATTATTATTCCCATTCTATTGATGAGGAAACTAAAGCATAAAAGCCTGCGAGTAACTTTGAGTCATACCAATAAAATGTTTCACTATAAGTTTTATCTTTATTAAGTATTCTCACTTAAATACTGAGGTGCTGTGTGCTGCAAACACATTCTCAGTATAAATACTGAGGTGTGTGTTTATAATGGAGAGCTTCGTTTCTTACTCCATAACATCTTTGTTCAAGTCATTTAATAAATCTTTATTAAAAGTGTACTATACAACACAAGGATTTTTAACTTTAAATTTCACATTGTCTGATATTGTCACTCCTTTTTTGTTTGCATTTGTCAGGTACTCATGCCATTATTTTCAACATTCAATTTTAAGATGACTTCTTGTAAACAACACATTTAGCTTTTTAACCTATGACAACCTTGGTCTTTTAATGGGAAAATTAAATCCATTCATTTACTGTAATGTCTATTACACAAAAATTTTATTCCTTCCATTTTTTGTTCTTTTCATTCATTTTTGTTGGTTTGCTCTTTGTTCTTGTGTTTAAACTTTGGTTCCACCTCTGACCCTCCCACCCCTCAAGATTCAATCTTTAGAGTATTCTAATTTCCTATCTTCACAGATGAGTACTGTGGAACTTATTTACATCTCTCTCCATTTGTATTATGTTGGTTCTGCTGTTAGTTTAGCACTGTTAATTTATTATAATTAGGTCTAATTTAATTAATGTGGTGCTTAG